AAGCCTTCTGGAATACTCACAATTCTCATATTGAAAGATAGCGTGTCAGGCCTAAAACTGTCCAAAAAATAGCCTTTGATGAAACAGAAGATTTAGGGTTTTTCTTGTTTGATTTCTAGGAGTGGTAGCATTTGTTGTCCCTGCTGCTAGGCTTTGCTGTGTAACAAAGAGAACTACAAATCTTATTCTAAGATCATCTGAAATTATCAAGAATTAGYTCAAGGCCCATAGCAAGGGTTCTGAGCCAAGCAGGAAGTATAAAAGAAACCAGCATTAACACTGAGGAAGTCACAATGCTTTCCTTTCTCTTTCAGAAAATGGTCTGGGAGTCCTGGAAAACATCAAGTTCACACTAAGTCAGTAATGCATTCAAGGCAACACTGAGGGTCCACAGCCTTCTGGGCTGCACAAGAAAAAGCATTGCCAGCAGGTGGAGGGAAMTGCTTCTACTCAGCACTGACAGAGCTTCTGGAGCACTGGGTCCAGTCCTGGGTTCCCCAGATCAGAAAAAAGAAAGATTTACTGGAGATCAGCAAAAGGCTACAAACGTGATAAGGGATTGAAGAGTCATAAAAGGATGGCTGAGAGAGGTGGGACTGTWCAGCCTACAGAAAAGATGCTTTATCAGGAGCTTTATCAATGTATATTAAAACTTTATGAGAACGAGTATAGAAGATGGCACCAGATTCTTCAGCTGCATCCAGAGAAAGGAGAAGAGGCAATGGGTACAAACTGAAATATRGCAAATTTCATTTAAAATTGAGAAAACCCTTTTTTCCTTGCAAGAGTACACAGGTAAAATTTGCTTAGAGCAGGAAAGGAGTCTTCATCCTTAAGGTATTCAAAACCCAGCTGGACATGGCTCTGAGCAACCCACCATAGTTAACACTGCTTTGAGCAGAGGATTGAGCTAATAGATCTCCAGAGACACCTTTCAACCACAACTATTCTGTTATTAAATTGTTCTTCGCAGTCTAAAGCTGAACTCAATTTTTTAACCTTCCATGTCTGAAAGCAAATCTGTACTGAGGTTTTCCTCCAAACTCCTTAACACCTGACTGGTTCTTTCACTACTGGATATGATTTAAAGAGGTTAGAAATTTTTTTAGTGGCTATTTCAAAAGAAATGTATTTGAAAACTTCAGCAACTGCAGGAGAGGAAGGATGGAAAGGTCATTTAATGGCATGTAATTGGGATGCTTTTTAAAAACACTACCAAAATAGAGTCCAAAAACTCATTAACCCCAGGCTATAAGAGAGGAATCAATTTTCAGCTCAAAAAAGCAGAGCCAAAAGAGGCCAACTAGACAGCAGCCAACTTGTTCTAAAACCCACTGGGATGAAGAGAGTAGAGAAAGCTACAAAGTTCTATCCATTTTGTCATCCTGAAGGCTCCCTTTACAACCTGGCCAAAGTTTGTTTTAGAATTGTACAGTATTTTGAGAACTGGGCTTTCCCATGACGAATGAACATTAAAAAAAAATCGATTCTTTCCATGGTATTACACACCATGATATTACATGCTGGTGTCAACTCTGCCTCTTATTCAACAAACTAGGACAAATTACATCAAAGATCAACATATGCCATTTGATCATAAGCCATAAAGGGCTCAGTTTTGTCAAGGTTTAAATCAAGRCTGAAGAGCAGATGTTCTGAAGCTCTGGGAGCAAGGTGTGCATAGAGCCTGCATTCTGATTCAGTCAAAATTAATTAGACCTTTCTACTCCTGTGTATACAACACTTAGGGAAACATTTGTCTCCTTCTTTCTCTGACAGAGTAACAAGGTCACGGCAAACTAACATTCTCAAGGTTCTTCAAGTGGCTATGCCACACTGGCTTGAAATTTAAAAAAAAAAATACTGAAAGCTTTACTGACAGGAGCTCCAATAGCCTTGGCAGAAGGGCATTGTGTCAGAAAGTAAGTCRACCAGTGTGTCTGTAATTGTCATATTCAAGACATAGCAGAGCTTTAAAATAAAAGCTAATCTGCTCTTTTGAAAGGAAGAAATGCTCCTCTTGAATTTCTTGGAAGATACTGCCCTGAGAACCACCTCCCCATCTGCTCCTGAGTCTTCACAGCAATATTCAGCTGATGCCAGCAGTCTCAGATTAAGGGACTTCCTGGGAAGGAAGTAAGGAATCTTTTTGAGGATTTCTAAGATCTGTGTGAGGAGCTACTTTTCCTCAATACCTTCCTCCTGGAGAGGTGTGAGGAAATCACTACAAAGTAAGCAGGACTGTTTCCTTCCCATTTTCCCTCTTTGCATAGAAGAAGTCTGAACAAAGCCATGTGATTTCTTTCCACACTTCATTTTTTTTCAGCTCCCCAAACTCAGTATCAATGAGTTATGAAACCTTGAGTAGTTCAGCGCTATTTGGACTGATGCACATAAAGCTGAAAAGACCTGACCAMATGAATTTCTGATAAATAATTCGATCAGGTGTAGAGAAACAAGTGTCATTTCTTCTGTGAGCTACACTGTTCCAGGAGTCACACTTCTTCCTCAGTGCTTGAGTGCCCATAATTAGCATGGCCCTACATTGAGGACTATTACTTTGCATTAAAAATTCCATCATTTGGGAATTAAAACTGCAGATTATTTTGTGAAGCACAGCCAAGATAAATCTTATTATATAGAACAAATCTTTGCAAGTATTGACAAATGTAATAAAATTTCAAACATGAAAGCAAAAGGGGAAGTTTTACATTTCAATTCCAGCATTGTAAAGGAAACTCTTTCATGCTTAAAATTCAAACTCAGTGTGGCAAGTAATTTCACTGTTACAGACTTGAATTACCTGCACTGGCCTTAGGGCATTATTCACKCTCTGAGAAAAATTGTACTTTAATATTGCTATGATTTTCCCAAGTAATTTTTATGCAGAAGCTGGGATGGATTCAAAACATCCATTTCAAGATTAAAGTGACAACATTTGGTGACTGCAGAGAACCATGTAATTGAGAACTGGGCTGAGGGATATGCCCAAAATTAAATATGGGAATGAGAAAATAATATTTTTTTTTAAAAGGATCAATGTTTTGGTTTTTTTGTTTAAATTCTGGGATGCAGATATTAAATAGGGTCACAAAATATAAATAAAGCCTTAATTCAAAGATGTTTAGCTGCATACACTATATTGAATGCTTAAGCTGTATTGGAAGACCATGACATTTTTGGTCACTGACCTAGCCAATTTAATAATTTCTATCATATGCAGGAGGGAGGATAATCTTCTCACTTAGTTTTGATGGATCCATTTTTTGGGAGCACTGAATTATCAATCTTTTTTACAGGTCATCTGCTGCCTGATCATTTGTTACTTTATATGAAATTGGGGACTGGACTCAGAGCATGCTCTGAATGGCCTTAACTCCACAACAGAGCCTGACATGAACTAGAGAGGGCAAGAATTTAAAATACAAATATACATCCTTAACCAAAACTGTTTATCAAAATCCTTTCAGCAGCATGCTTTCCAAACRAAACTCTAGATGAATCAGTTATTTTGTGACTTTGAAGAAACTCTGATGTTTCTATAATATGTATTTCAACAGTAAGTAGGGCAATGGGGAGTATTGAGTATTGAGCTTTTATTATTTAAATAAAGGTTTTTGTAGGAAATAAGATGAAAGATTTTACTATGTTAAAAAGCATAGTACTTATTAAAGAAAGCAACTGAACAGATTTTTTTTCTTGAAGGTTTCCCAGATTTTCTGTCTTCCTATTTGCATCAAGGTGGGGCCACTTCATTTCAAAATCAACCATAAACACTGGTGCCTCAACTCACTACTTTCAARGCAACAGTCTGTCTTAGAATAATAGAATTGATTAAGTTACAAAATACCTCTAAGATCATCATGTCCAACCATTAACCCGGCATTGCCATGTCCTCCACTAAACCATATCCCTAAATCTCACATYCACACATCTTAAATGCCTTCAGGGATCGTGACTCAACCACTTCCCTGGACTTTAACTCTCTGTGAATCTCATTGACAGGTTTTTCATTATGGCAAAATGTTGCTTAACTACAACAAGGTTTAGGAGTAACTGTTGAGCATTGAGGGGATTCATTTTGTAACTGATAGAGGCATGGRAAACTTGACATGAGAGGTTTTAACAATTGAAGGAGAGTTAATGTACTTTCAAATGTTTATTACTCTTATGTCATCCTCAAATTCTTGCTCTCTGGGTCAATGAARCCTGAAAAGAAGCAGCAACTACTTTGATGGATGAAATACAAAAAATTAGCCACAGCAGAAGTCAATTTGCTTCCTCTTGTGTCCTCACTGGAGTTGCCCAAGATTCAGTCTTGTTGGGAAACAACAGAATGAGAAAGCATGGAGAAACGATTTAAAAAAAAAACAAAAAAAAACCAAAAAAAAAAACCACCCTCCTTTGAGAGTTAAAGGCCCCGTTCCAGAGCTACTACCCTTTTTTTTTTTTTTTTTTAACAGGAAAGGCTAGAAAGATCCACCAATGACTGGTCTTCTAAAAACATGGTAAGAAATCAACCAGTACAACTTAACTGGGGAAATACACCACATAATCAAGGCATATTATGCTATTCCTCATTGCAGCAGAAGAAATTTAAAGCTACAAGAAGTAATTGTAATCTAACTGTGCATTGTGATCCACTGCCTGGATGGTGGTAAATGACATTGTTGTTTTGTATTGCTTTGCTTCCATGCATGGCTTTTGCTTTACCTATCAAACTGTCTTTACCTCAGCCCACAAGTKYTCTCACTTTTGCCCTTCTGATTCTCTCCCCATCYCACCAGGTGAGAGTGACTGAGCAGCCTGTGGGGCTTGGTTGCCAACTGGAGTTAAACCATATTCAGTATAACCAAACTAYTAAACCACAGGACAAAACAGAAATTACAGTGTCAAAATTTACAGTTATGGCAATGTATCATAAATTAAAATTAGGTGCATTTTCTTCTTTAGCTAAATTATTTCCAAATTTTRATTTTTCTCCTAAGTTTTTAACTTACCTGCCCAAAGATTTATTATTGTTCTTCCTCCTCTGCTACTGAAATGCAGCCCTGATGACTCTATCACTAAGTGGCTGAGTTGGTCTGAAGTTATCTCCCAGGATTCCATCAGAGCCCTCTAAAAGTTCAGCACCTTTAACATGAGTCCTCAGTCTTCGAAATTCCTCTATCTGAAAGACAGAAAAACAGAAATGAAGAAGTTGAGACACATTCTTCACTCTGGCACTAAGGATCAAAACCAGCCTTGCCCAGCCAATTGTGCAGCTTTGAAAACTGGAGTGTTCAGGTGCTGAGGTCAGTATACACTAATAATATTTTTAAATAGTTATCAGCACTGTCAAAACATTTGAGATACAGAGAAAAACAAGAACTCTTATGCACATGGTTTGGCAAATTTATATTTTGCCTTTTTGCAACTTCTTTTAGAAGGGCTAACTATTTTGGCCATTGCAGATTACATCCAATGAATCAGCCTTATTGTTGTGTGTTGAGAGTAGTGATTCTGGTCTTCTTCAAAGAAGTGCATTTCAGGAATAACTTGTTTAACTGTAAACTGTTTTGAAATTCTAGTGATTTATTTACTGCCTGAAACTGCTGTTATCCTCTAAACCAGAACAACACTGAACAGATTTTTATCTATAAGGGATGTCTGTTGACATTTTATACGAAAAAATACAGTTTTTGCGATCAAAACAAAATACTGCTTCAAAAGATMTGTGGATGTACATACTTTGAAAGTTAAATACAGTAAAAACTAAATTATTTCCATTAAGCCAAAACAAATATGTTCCTTGCTTATAGACTCTTTTTAGATTTTTCTCAATCTCATCTGGTGAAGGAAAGAATACTAGCAGCTTCACCTCCATCCCTGCTATCAGCATCAARCATTGCACGATAAAGTTCTGAAAATCAATGCAAATCTCAGCCATATCTCTTCTTACTGTTCACCAGTGTTGTTTTTCTAAGATTCTGGTCTTTTAAATAGTTACAACTACTAGAAAATTTTTTTTTCATTGACATATTCACAAGCTGTCTTAGCTGGATACAGCAAATGTACTTGATGGCTGACTCCCCTAGCCTCAGCCTTTGTACTTGTACTGACACCGTGATGCCTCACTATGCAGTTCAGCTCTCACCTGAAACTGAAGATACACAGAAAGTAAAATGGAGCCTGGAGTGTACAATCATTTTAACATCTAAGACATTACAGAGTTAATTTCTCCATGAGAAATACCCTAGGAAATATTACACGGAGAATGTAAGCATGATTCCAGAATTAAATTAAATGAGATACTAAACAGCAGGTAATGGCGTTTTTATTTTTATTCCGCCTACAGAGAATCCTTTCTTATTGCAACCTGGAAGACAACTGCCCTCAATGTTATTTTTCCACTCTATAGCAGTACTGATACCAACTTATTTATTTGGTTTAGAGGCTAGCTCTTCTCTGCTTCATTTTCCTCAAAAAAAAAATCCAGTGTGCTTGGAAATCAACACTCAGCTTCTGGCAGCTGAGATATAAGGCAACAGTTTTATATTGCAAAAATGGAAAAAGCTCCTTGAAGGTGCTTTTATAGGCAGAATCCTGTTATGGAAAGGTTTTTTKTTGTTGTTGTTGTTGTTGTTTACTTAAAGCAAACTGAAAACAAATCCACTACCAGCTTGGAATTGAAATTGTCTTCAGAACTCAAGGGCTGGTAAATCACTGAATGAGTTTTGTGAAGGCATCCTCTTTCACCATCTGAATCAACTCTGGAAAGTCTRAGATAATTGCATTTTAGGAAGGAGCACTTTACAAAAATGTGGCTTTTGTTTGATCTTGTGAGAATGAGATACTTCAAACAAACACAGATGAAGGAGAGGGAAGAGCAGACTCTCTGCAAGGCTGGCTTTGTGAGCTGTTTGTGAGGTGTCTCCTACTGTAACTACAAATGTTCCAGCCCAGTTCCCACAATGAAGTCTTTCACCAGGAGGTACTCCTCACAAAGCAGCCTCCAGTTTCTTCAGTTAGAAGAGCAGAAATTACTTGATCTCTGTGCCTGCTCTTTAGTCTTTAGGGAAGTCAAGAATTGTAGCCCTGTTCCAAGAAGGAATCRCTTCTGAGATCAACAGCCTCCTTGTTTAGTTATTCCTTCCACAGTTCAGGCTTCCATGACAGAGACCCTCTACACACGACGGTTTACTCTACTCAGGACTGGGTCTGTCAGAAAAGGACACTAGCTGTACCAACACTGCTTTCTCACTAAATTTCCACGTGGCAAGGTAATACGTGTGCCCTGCTCATCCTGTTTCACCACTTGGCATCTCCTCCCAACCTCTTATAAGTCAATTCTCTGAAGTACACCCTGAAGGACTGCCAATGGAACACGTGTTTCAGAGTCATGTGGCTAAGCACCCTTGGATATTCACATTTCTTACCAGGAACAGCCACTTTYAAAAGTTCTTCTTATGCCCAGAAGACATTGAGGATGACCTAAGCCTGTTCACAGTGAAATTCAGGATTAAGTTCTGACCAGCATAAAGGCAAATCCACAATGTGAACCGTTGCATCTCTACTRAGTAAAACCATTCATGTTCATGTTTTGTAGAATTTTTCTACCACTCYTTGTATTCAGATCCTGAACACTGCGTTCTTCTGTTTCACTTATGTATTTGCTGAAGATTTGCATATTTGCACACAAAACACAGAATTTGCATGTTTTCTCTAAACATTTCTTCAATTTGAGGTATAGAAGCATTAYCCTTCTCCTTGAAAATTTCACATCTCCATGACTCCTTCCAAGAATATAGAGCTACTCCCCAGTGCCCAGAATACCATGAACCTCTGAGTGCTTTATTTCACAGTTTACATAAATTTTGCACAATTCCCACTCCAGCTCCATATGCTGTTTACTATTTCTCTCCTTTAGGATTTTTTTATTCTGAATGAGGTAGACAAAAGGACCCATGGATCAGCCATTCACTACAAAACCAGTTAACTCTGACAATGAACACGGCAGAACAACAGCTCCTCCTGCATCATTGTTTAAAATCCCTACTCTGAGTGGCTTAGACAATGTACTTGTTCTGGGCTTCAGTGAACCACAAAGCACATTATTCACAAATGTCCCTCCTTTTTAGTTTAGTAGAGAGAAGCATGACCAAGTTTTTTTTTAATTATTTCCTGCTCTTTACTGGCCTAATAGGAGGGCATTTTCTATTTTCTCCTTCTACATTTTAGCAGTGTACATACATGGGTGAGGTATCTCACAAAAACAGTCAACACAAATCTTTCTGGGCTGTGTGTTTCAACATAAGTCAAGTGAGGATGAAAAAAATCACAATAGGAGGACAGGAATATGCACAGAATGATCCATGAAGGAAAAAGCTCTCTGATGGAAGTGAAGTCTCATGACAAAGAAAATTACTTGCAGTGAGGACACAGCACTGTATTCCAGAAAAGCACATRCTGATGCTGCAGGCCCAGATTGCTCTTTTGCTGTTCTCATAATCACCACACCCAGATCTCCTTTCACTTAACACAGACTTAGACCAGTAGCATACGAACTCATCAACTAAACTTTACTATCTGAAAATGTCTTCAAGAGAAAAAAGTTCTCTACTTTGAGAGAGTCAGCCTGTTGTGCCTATGTCAAAGTAGTTACTTCATTTATTCAAACTAACAAAATGTGAAAATATATGAGTGTGACCATCAATTAAAATTGCAATCTTATTTTTTCCCCCTTATGACCTGCAGTTTGTTAAGCTAATCAATACTGCTGTGTTAATTACAGAAAATTAGTATCTTGTCTCCAATATATGAACTAGCTTCATCAGAGAAAGAAATTAAATCTATTCTGTATTATATTATGTAATTCTTTATTCAATACTTGTTATTGACACTCGGAACTTGATTATGTTATGGCCTGAAAAATGAAAATAGAAAGCCTTGTATTTGTCTCTCACTGGCTATAACCAGAGATGCTGGTATTTACATAAAGCCCTTGATGTTTCATTAGTATCCCAAAGAAGTAAGTTCTACAAGGCAATGAAATGTAAAAATAATGTATTTAAACTCATTAGAAATGCATTTGCACTGAAATCTATGATTTAATACTACAAGCTGGCTTAATAAAACTAAATGCCTCTACCAGCCTTCCATAGAGAATTCAAAATGGTATATCCTATACCACATACTCTTATTTTCCACAGACAAAAGCCCTTGCACTTCTGATCTCTCATGGGCAACTTGCTCTAGATGAACCTGCTTTAGCAGGGCATTTGGAATAGATGATCTCCAGAGGTCCCTTCCAACCCCAATCATTCTGCAATTCTGTGATTAAATGAAATCTCTCMTAGGCACTCATGCCCACATGCACAAAAGAGGCCAGATATTTCATTGCAGCCAAAACCCTAATTACTGTTTAAAATCTTGGAATTTTAGGCTCTAGCAAAACATTCTGCAACCACCAAAATCTTAATTTGGGCATCATGGAGACCTCCAAGTACCTTTCAATTTATGAAACCCAGAATCACGTCCTCTCATTTATCCCATATTTATTTTTAATTGACATCTGAARGCAGTATCTGATAAAAGACGATTTTTTATCCCATCTTGGCAAAAAAMCATTCACGTTCTTAATAAATATCTTTCCTGAACAACCTTAACTTTAATGCTATAATCAGAAATAGCAGTGAGGGGTTTTTTTCTAATTGATGCTTAACTTTGACAAGCACAGTGGATCACACTGGCAATAGGTCTGCTCCAATCTATCACTCGTCTCCAGTGCCACATCTCAGMTGCATACAGTGCTAGCAATGTTTCTGGATTGCATTTATACCTATCCAATAATGCAGCAACACAAACTACCCCTCACTTATCAAAAGCCACAGCTGTGAACCTCAGTCTTTGCCCCAGGAACTGTAGCTCACCCTTTTCCAAAGGCACAATATTATTTTCAGGAGTCTTATCCCCTTCACACCACACTCCAGCATCTTGTTTCCTTGTGGTAAATTAGCACGTATAGTACTAAAGCTGCATTTCTCTGCTTAATTCCTCTTTTGTACACCCTCTTGTCGTTTCCCACCACACGTGGATGGTTTCAGCTCTGCTCTCCTCTGTGCACTGATTGGATTAAAAGGGAATGGAGGCTACAAAAGCTGCAATTAGCAATATCATACTACGTCTCAGTGTAATAGCTGTGGACTGTGCATTTCTGATTAGGTCACTTTAWTTATCAATATCATATCTGGACAGTTAGCTGACAAGTTAAAAAATGCATTCTGTCTTTAGAAGTTATTYTGGATCTAATAATGCTAATACTGTTTACTCAGCAGCAAGTAATGAATTTACTCAGTAGTAAGCAGACACAAGATTTTCCTTTTCATAAATGAATATCAGATTCATTATGGGATGCATTTAAATTGCAGTTACCAGACAAATAACTTATTGAGAGCTATTGCTTTTATCCTGTGATTAGACCTTCCGTAAGAAAAGAAATGCTGCCAATTTTGGATTGCTGAAGTTGTTAAAATATTGTGYTGACATCACTAGCAAAATTTTAAATTATTAAAGCTGAAATAATTTAAACCTGAATTTATCACCTTTCATACTTTTCTTGCATGCCTCAGAGCAGGCAATGAAAATGAATGCATTCAGCTTCAGGGATTCTAGATAGTTTCACTTAAATTAAACACACATTCCTCCAGCTGCGATTCACAGACTGTGGGAGAATATTCATCAGGAGTTTTCATTGTTTTTACTGGGATTATTTGTAGACAGCTTTGAAAAGCTTTACGTAGAAAGGCTCTATAACAACTGTTATATTTAAGAAAAAAACCACAAACATTTTAAAATACATACGTGTGAAATCAAATCTAAACAGGTAGCTTCCATTTGACATTTATTTAAAAACTGAATTAAAAAGGGGCCAGATAAATTCAATATAGTTCAATGCAATCTAGCCAGTCTGTACTACATTAACGTTTTTCATTCTCCAGGACATAGTGCCTCCTTGTGCTTTTTTGTTCCTTTAGCATCTAAAAGCTTACAACTATTCTTACAAAGAATTTATTTTCTTTTGCCCATTGACTTCCTTTTTTTTTCTATCACTTAAATATGAGAATTATTTTAAATGGAGACGATAAATGATAACCAGGCTTTTCATCTCTGACCTTTACGTTGTTTTCAGTGACTCAAAAGGTTTAACCTTTACTTGAAAAGCCATGTACTGATCTAATGGGATCTTTAAGGAGAACAGGCATAACGCTCTGATATATACATTTGCACGCTATAACCTTTAGCTCATAACCATATTCCAAGGTCACTTTGAGCACAGCTGTTACCTGCACTTGGGACACAGTCAGAGGGTAGCGAAACAATATCCAGGTGACACCTTCACTGCAGGGTGGAATGGTTAGAGAGCCCTCATACACCCAGTAGTCACGCAGAAGAGGATCTGAAATTAAAAGAAACGTGGAGTTTTAATGACATTAAGGAAGTTAATGATTTCTTTCAGTTTAGATAGTTTAGGACAGCCATGGGCTCACTCATAAAATGAAGTTAGTATGCAGCAAGCTAAGGTGTGAATTTATAACCTGCCAAGCACTGCCCACTACCTCCTCACATGAACGTATATGAGCTTCTTGTCATCATGTTACACTAACTTCCTCTACAGATGAGCATTTTAAACGTGAAAATGCCACTTTACAGATGTGAAAAAATAACAAGTGCACAGCTCTTTAAATTAACATGGCACATAAGTAATATTGTGGAAATAGAAGAATTCCTGTTAATGTCAAAAGTAAAAATTATTTTAAATTTTGAAAGCAGAGGGGATGCACTGATTGAATTTTAACTGACTKCTACATTTAGGATATGTCTCAAGGATAAATTTGATTTCATTTTTTAGAAAAAAAAATCAATCAAAATTCAGCTGAAGAAAAACTTTTCACTTGACAATTCTGGTGACTTATTTTTTGAGACGAACTGCCTTTGGAAAAGTGAGTTGATTTTCAGAGGGGGAAAACTATCAAGGTTTACCTTAAAATTACATAACTTTTAAAGTTTATAAATTTATTAATGGGTTTATAAACAACTGTTAGAATAAACAGTTGTCGCTGAAGATGTACAATATTTTGTTCATCCTGAGTTTTAACGCTACGTACAAAACATTTAATTTTAATATTTTAGTTTTAATTTCTCATAGATTCCTGTCACACTGCACTTGGTAAGTGAGACTACACAGGGCTTTCCTTTGCTGCTGTAGGCTATATAACCTAGGAGGTACAGACAGGAAACTGCCTGACTGTAAAAAAAGGGACAAGAAACAAATCCAGAGAGAAACTGGAGACAAAGGGTGGTTAATCATGGCATGGAGAGCCAGGGGGAAGGTTGTGACTAGCTTGACAAAGACAGAATGGGAAACTGGAAACAAACCTGTTTGGCTGAATTAACCTGTTACTGTCATTTCACTACACCAGCTCAGAGGAATATCAATAGAATTAAATCTTGCTAATGAAGCCTCTGATTGCCAGYAAATTAATTTTGTTTTGTTGGTGTAATTTTCTTTCTTGGTTAGGAAATTATCTAGCAAATCCATTGACAGCAAGTTGCATTATCAAACACTCATAAGTTATGAACTGCAAGAACTAATTCAGCCCATCCTGTGCATGCATCGTGACACAGTGTTGTTACATGATCATGTATGTCTTCTGGAGAACATCTCATCATTTACTCACAAAGATGGATGATTTTGTTTTTAAACTATATCATAACATTAGGAGTTCTCAGTACAATATGAGGTGTTCTTTATCCCATCTATTCAAACCCTTCTTGTTAGAAGGACTGTATTTTCTCTTTTTTCATATTTCTAATGCACTCATTTCTTCAGTGCCTGAGAGCTTAAGTGAGTTAATTAATCCACCCATACCCTTGTGTGGTGAAGAATGACAGATCATGCCCTCACTTGAAAGCTGGGGAACTGAGGCACAGAGAAGTTAAGTTCAAATGCATCTATTCATTTGAGGTGTTCGATATGACATGCTTAGAACCTGATTTCTCAGAGTAGTTAACTTTTTATAGCACTTAATACAGTCAGAGCACTGCTCCCATTGACTTCTCTTGGAGGTGTAAGCACTCAGCACTTCTGCAAATCAGACCCCATGATCTCAAGTCGGGCACCTAGAAAATGAGGAACACATAGTTAGAGATGACTTGGGGAAAGTTTTGTTTATGTGACTTGATCAGCATCAAACAGGAACTGTGAGGCAGAGGTCCTGTAAAAAATAACTTATGGTCATGCAGTCTGGTGATGTTTCATAATGGATATGCATGAGAGGCACAGGCTGCCTTAATTCCTGCAATTCCTAATYGCTGAGCACTTGACTTTGCAACCTGGACAGTATTCTTTTGATATAATTACGATAGTTTAACGTAGACCTGGCTATTTGGACAAATTAAAGGTCTAGTCAATATGACAAAAGCTTTGCTCAGATGGACTCCTTGCAGAAACACTAATTTTTAGAAATGTAYTTTTTTAAAAGTCCCATTTCTTACTGTTACCCTAACTTTTAGCTATGAGTTTGAATTTGCCTCCCTTCATAACTACTCCTTTTTTGCCATACAACCGTCATTGCATTATGGCATTTTCCTTTGATGCTGCCAAAAAAAAAAAACCTCGTTAAGTGTGTAGCCTTACACTTCCTATTTCATGCCAAAGTTGAAAAAGAAATACACGGATCTGCCCCTCTAGATRGATGATAAATCCTCAACAAAACCAGTGTTTCCAGCAGTGCACAGACTATGGCAATCACATCCCACTCACATGACAAAGGTGCAGATTTACAGTAAATTCCAACGGGACTTCTTCCCTATCCCTATTAGCCCCACGAGGTGAAAAATGCACTACCCTTCATGTGACACGCCCTCAGGCTTGCAATTTAGGCTGGGGTTTAGATTAAGGTTGTCTCAGCCTCTGCAATCAGCTACAAATCCACACACACAAAAGTAAGCAAAGGCACCTACCTGGCAATAAAGAGTTGGGATTAAAACAGGGTATTGTTTTGGACTTTCCCTGAAAAAATGAATACAAATCAATCTCATCTCTAGCATCTTGTTAAAATGCTGGTGAATGTGGAGGTAAAACACATTCTGTGTTCTTATAACATCAAGCCTTGAATTCCTGTGGAAAGCAACCTCCTTAAGAACCCCCATCGAATTATCATTGCATTTGTCCTTGCAGTYACACAAACACATATTTTTATTCTATTTGATATTTTGTTTTTAAGGTCATCCCAGCAACTGATTAACTTTCTGCCTGGATTTCTTCCAGGTCCCAACCTTGAAATTGAGGGATTTCATACAAAAACAGTTAAAAAAACAAGGGCCAARGTGAGCTTTTCTTTAACTGATGTGGATAACCCTTAATAGAATAATGCTGGTTTCACATATTTAATGTATGAAAATTCTATGTATGCCAAAGTGTCTTTGATGCTGATGCTTTGAAAGTGATCATTATAATACAGTCACACAATGGTGAGGCCTTTCAAAACCTTCCTATGATAGGCTGTTGTGTCAGCAATGAAATGACAAAATTCCATACACTATTGTTTTCCCCGACATTTTCATAAATGGTTTGTAATATTGAACATCATAACTCAAGTTTACCATACGTTACTTGACTAAAATATTTTCGATTCCTTTCTTTTTTCTACACTTCAGCATCTGCTGAAGTGAATGGTTAAACTCTTCAAATCAATAAAAAAACATGTCATCAATACATCTCAAAATCCTTTTAAAATCAAAGGTAYGTATGATTATTTCTATGTTACGGATCATGAAGCAGAGAGTTGGAAATAACTTGCTCAAGGTCATTTAAGATAGCATCAACATTTTGGAGAGAACTCATATCTCCTCAGTCCTGCTAGGATTATTATCTGTCCTTTGAGATCCCCACACATAATCCACCTGACAAGCAGGCATTGTGTTTTTTCTGATCTCCCACTGCAAGTTAATGCAGGTGCTCAGTTCATCTATTCTTTTCCTCTACACATTAAAACCAGATGAGTTTGGAGATAGTGCTGCTGGTGCTCACTAAGCATGTTGCAGTGCCTGCACTCAAACTGACTCCACGAAAATCACTGAAAATGTAGGATTTGCAATCAATTACTGCTATAGATTAAGCTTTCTCGCCACCAGAAAATGAAAGAAGTACAAAAAATATTTATCATCTGAATACTGTAAAATGCTGAGGTTTTCATGAAGGCAAATAAATGACATTCATTTCACATGTGGCTTTACTACAGATACATCTGAAATCCTTCTCTTGGTTCCATACTGACCCTCTGCTTGCTTTCTCRCTGGTCATTAAAGGAAGTATTGCTTCAGGCAATGCCTTACCTTGTACTGGATGTCCTGAAGAATTTCAGTGACAGCCTTCAGGCCCACATGCTCTTTTCCTATCTGAAACACAGCAAGCAAAAGTGAGTTTCAGTMTCTCGTTATTTCAGAAACTGCGAGGCAAAACACAATCAGAACAGTGAGTGCTATTTTTAGTTTTTAGTTAAGCAACACAACCTAGTGTTAGCCAAATACACTGATACATGGCAAACAAAGCATAATAAAACCGCCAGTCAAAAGTAAACAGGGCTTAAGTAACTTTAAAGCAGAGACAGAAACTCACAGAACAAGAGAAAGAGTCCCAATCAAGCCTGGTAAGTTTTGGTTAACCCTGTTTTGCAGCATCTACTCTATGCAGAGACAAAATCATGCGACATTGTGGCCCATAAATACCAAGGATACAGTTTGTCCTCACCAGTTTTTGTCAGAAAAGTACACAGAAAGGAACCAAGYGAACAAGCAGAACAGACACTTTTGAATTTGTTCCCATAGCATTGCAAAYCTGGCTCAAGGTATCTCTGAAGCTCAGGGGAGTTTTTTCCTGCCTGCAGAGCACAGAATGGCAGATTCCCTCCCTCTCAGCATCTCTGGGATGCTGCCAGTGAAAGCTGAGCTCCTGGCAGGCTGCAGCACTGCCTCTACTCAACGCCTGTAAGGCACGGAAGATGGGTCTCTACAGAAACACACTGAGATAGAAGAGTCTAATTTTATATGAACGTTGCTCACTCTGCAYTCTAAACTCAGCTGCTTCTGACTCCAATCACCCATTCAAGGATCCTAGTTTTACCATCAGAAYAACATTGTCAAAATTGGAAGACACAGAATGGCCTTCCACTTGATTTCTTTGCCAACAGATACACATACAAGTTGAGGAAATAAGCCAGCAAGTGAGAATGGGAGAGCTAGACCTCTGAAAATTTTCTTTGCTTTTTGTTTCTCTTGGAATAGAATGACACGGTAGCCACTGGGAGGAAACAATTGAATGTCAACAAAAGGTACTTTGTTATTTCTAGGAATTTAAGAAGATTTTCTTTTGTTTTATAATCAAATTTTAGCTGAAAATCTTCAAAGTGCAGAAAAGATATTGAAGTAACTTCAAAGATGCTGCTTCTAAATTAAAAATCCCCAAGAGCTGTCACTTAAATCAGTGAAAATATTTTCACTGACCTTAAAATAATGTATTTTGAGAGCTGTGGTATTTTTTTTCCATGTCTTTGCCAAGAAAAAAAAAATGGCCACTGAATTTCCTCTCTCTGTTCCTTAAAAAAGAACAGCATAAATACTATTTTTCCTTGGTCAATTGTAATTATATGATGCCTTTCTTGGCTAATAAAAAAGTCTTTGTGGAATGCTTAAGAACACTGATGTGGGTGTGAGACCAGAGATGGAAAACATATCACTGAAGTTTCAGATTTATTTAAGAACTTACATATAACTTTCTAACTTGAAGGTTACCTCTGCTGGAATGAGAAGGTGACTTACATAAGCAATTATCACATAGCCCTCTAGGACACAAAACTGAAGACTTTCTAACTTCCATTTTTAGCAGTTCTATCTGAGTGTTGAGGCAGTAACCAATGTACCTTTAAATTCAGAGGTAAAGCTCAAAGGCACTCATAAACTCGTTATAAAATATGACAAATTAATAATATCACTATGAAAGAAAATCCATTTGATCTAACATGAACTCTAAACCTCTTCCTCCAAACCCATTTAAATAAAACAGTTTGCCATTTCTCATAAGGAAGATGAGAATCTGGTGTTTGAGGACTGAAACTGAAAATCTTTACAAGGGTACAGACCTTGAAAAACCTTCAACAGCAATTAGATCACAGTGCTTATTTCCCAGATTTCATTACACCTTGTGCTCAGGAAGCTTTAAGCCTCCTCACTRCAGGCTTTTCTGAGGGTCTCTGGCAAGTATTGTTAACATTCTCAGTTTYGGAAGAAGTGATATGACTCCACCTTGCATTTATTCTGTTTGAAGAAACACATTTGTCCTTGTGTTCAGKAAAGCACAATTCTACTACCAGTTTTCAGCAGTGCCAATGGGTTAGTAGGCCTTTTTTTTGAAATCTTTCCTCCTCTTCTCTATTTCCTTTTCTCCTGTATTTCCTCAATCCCTGAACAGCAGACCTGGCCAGCAATAGAGGAATACATCATAGACATAGTGAAGCATTTCTACCTCCTGACAGCCCTCATTCTGCCCTCAGAGGAATGGAGATTGGATGTTTACTTTCAGAGTCACAGAAAGATGCCTAACTATGTATTATCCCTTCTTTAACCAACATACTCACAATATCCTGCTCAAACAAGAATTAATCACATAGCACATACACAGAAGACATGACTGAAAAATACCTTTCAAATAGAATACCAGCAGTCATACATTGTTTTCCGTTATGAAATCATTAGAAATGAAATTAAATGAAAAGGACCTCGTTATCCTACAACAAATGACAGTGCACCATAACAAGTGTAACACGGAAACTTACCTGCACAAACAAAGCAATAATAGCTATGCCGTGCTTCTTCCCTACTGCCTCATCAATGCTGCTGTACAGTGTGGAGTTCCAGTGCATTAGATGAAGCTAAAACAAAGCAGTGCAAATAGAGCAATATGTTTTGTAATTAAAAACACCAGCAATTAACATCAATTAACAAAGCCTCAGCATGCTGTGTGTGCACATGCATGACTACACGTGTGTGCAGGCTCATGGCTGTGCATGTAGGGATAAGTGGATTTACTACTGTAAATACTAGGAACACCAAGAAAAAAAAAAACAGATAAAGTGATATACAGCCAGTTACCAAAAAATTTACATCAAAGGTGTGAATGACTATAGTGATGATGATTTAACAACTCCCTCGATCTGAATATTGAAATAATGACAGCTAATGAAATCCACCAACATTGCCTCTCAGCCAGCCAGCTCTCTCCCAAGGTAAGAGAAATATTATGGACACAGGCTGTCCAAACAYGCATTAGACTGACTGACTGTACTATCATAACACTTGTCTCACACACCACCTCCAAGATTAATCACTCAAATGTCAGCAGTARGAGTGTAAGTGATTTCAGAAAAGGTTAAACATAGAGGAAGTCAAGCAGAGAAAAGTGGCTTGAGGACCACCTTAGGGATAATGCTGAAAAAAGGGATGGTAAAGAGTGAAGGAGTTAATGAATGAATGCCTGGGAGGCAGCAGACACTGGACAGTAAACATGAAGGCTGTTCTGGTGAAGGGTCACAGAAAGATTTGGGAAGTGGTGTTTGAGAAAAGTGCTGTAGGACAGACTAGGCAGGAAGTTGGAAAGGGAGGAAAGAAGGGAGTGGAGGGAGAAAGGTAATTGGGGAGAAGAGGAAAAGAGAAAAGTGCTGGAAAACAGAGTGACAAGTGGGGAAGGGAAGGGAAGGGAAGGGAAGGGAAGGGAAGGGAAGGGAAGGGAAGGGAAGGGCATATCTACTGAAAGGTAATATGTATTTTGAACATGAGTTTTTCCAGAAATAAATGTAAATGTAGTTTTCTGATAACACTGTAGAGCTTCAACATCCTAAGCACAGCTGCTTTGAAGTTTATCAGCCAACTTTTGCACATTTGGCYTAGATAATACAGCTAAGAAAATACAAATCCTCAGACCTAATTCCCACTGTAAAATCATGATCAATGTTTTGCTCAGTCATATGTCTAGGAAGCTAAAATGCCATTTTGATATCTAACATTGTTTCCACCTTCAGCAAAATTAGTTTTTAAAGCAGTGTATCATTCTATTTTGTATTTTATTTCTGCACAGAAACAGCCTCTGTTAAATGCTTATTGCCTCTTATACAACAGGAGTTCACCCAGGCATCCTCGCATTTCARACCAGCTCTTCAAGCAATCACTCTGCACTTATTTATCTCCAATAAGGATTTTAGGCTCTCCTCTGGATAACTTTTATTTCAAAAGTAAATACAAACTTTTAAATTAACACATTGTAAACTGAATTAAATTCCTGATTCTCATGCCAATAATTTCATTCATTCTGATCAAAGGCATCTGCTGTGGCAAAAAAAAAAAGAAACATTTTTCTTAGCAAATATAATAAATCATTTTCACATGAGAACACTAATATAAACAATCTACTTGCCCACGGCTACAAAACTTCTAGACATCCAAGTGCTCTCTGTTAGAACTAAGCCCATGGATTTACTTGGTGTTGAGCATTTTATCATGTATAAACAGCTTTGCCACACATCTGATTTGCCTCTGGCTTTTAAAGCCAGAGGATCAAATGAGATTTCAGCCTCCGAGGCTCCCGTTGGCAGACACAGAAGCATCACCACCACCCGCGAAGAAAAAGGCACAGCCCCGCATTTTCCCGGAGATGAGCCTGGAGTTCGCAGCAGCTCCCCGCTAGAGGGGGATCACGGAGTCCCACAATCCGCACCAAAATCCTGACGCTAAGAGGAAAATGTGAAATAAATAAAGAAAGAAAGAAAGAAAGAAAGAATAAAAAATAAAAAAAAAATAAAAATAATAATAATTAAAAAAAGCTTGTGGTGACTGCTGCGGGGATGGCAACGTCCTCGGTGCAACTCTCCCGGCTGGCCGGGTCACAGCCAGCTTGTCCGGGGGCTGGAACAGCGCCCAGGGCCATCCCCGAATGCACAGACCGTGACTTTGCCTGTGTCAACAGGCGGGTCTTGGCTAAGGCTGCTGCAGCATTCAGCCTGTCACACTCCCTTGGAGGTGAAGCCTAATCTGACATCTGTCTGCATTCTGACAAAGGCACGAGTTCTCTCAAGATCTGAAAGGAAAATGCTGAACCTCAGGACGAGGAAAATGAACGAGAGCTTCAAACCACGCAAGCGATGACCCCAGTTCATCCAGAAACAGATTGTCCTTAGGCAGCAGCTTCACCAGGGCACAGATCTCCCTAGAACAGGGCCACATCAACTAGAAAACAATTTGAAAACCTCTGTCTATTGCTATAAAACAATAAAAGATCTAGAACTAGTCTGTGCAGCAGCATGGGTAACCGACCAGGAAGATGTGATGCAAAATGCACTTTGCTGCTGCATCAAAGAAGAACCACAATGAGACACTGCAGGTGAAATTAGTTACCAAGGAATGTACCTACTGGCCAGCACCTCTTCCCACAYCTCCAGGGGACATGGGGATACTAAATCAAATATTAGCTATGTATTTCAAGAGTAGTTTTAGATCTCTGAATCCTCCCAAAGTCTCCTTTTTTTCCACTATCTCAACTAAGGTCAGGATGGTCTACATAAAAAAACAAAACATCAGCATAACACCATTTGAATATGAGGAAGAACTTTTTACTGTGCAGGTGACCACACACTGGAACAGGTTGTCCAGAGAAATGTGGAGTCTCCCTCACTGTAGATATTCAAGAACTGTTTGGAGACAATCCTGTGCCATGTGCTCTAGGACAAACCTGCTTAAACAGGGAGGTTTGACCAGATGACCACAGTGGTTCCTTCCAATCTTATGCATTCTGTGATTTTGTSCTATCACAGAGACAGGAAAGAGACATAGGTAAAGCTCATGCTGACAGCCCTAAACTAGCTTCAGGTTTAGTAACCAACATCACTGAAAGTATGGAAAAATAGGCAATCAGCACTTTCTGGTCTGAAAGTTTCTGTTACTCTGAGGGTCTGCTCAAGGATATTTAAACTCCATAGCAGGGTCCCTGGAGAAAGAACCATCATTTTGTACTGAGTTGCTAATGCCCAAAGCAGAACAAACTTCTGATCTGTGTTTAAGATGTATGGTTAAGGGTGGGGATAATTACAGTGGATTAGTGACATGTTTTTTATGCAGCAGGTTGCACATTTTCTGTCATAAACACTAAAGAAAACAGGCAGAGAGCACTCCTTGCCCCATGACAGCAAATGACTGGGGGTAAAACAAAAGGTGGTCTGGCTCATATGCTCTTCCCACACAGCATCCCTTACTGATACTGCTAACAACAGAACACTGGATGCACTGCAGTGTATTTATCATGTTCCCATGTCCTGACTCAAGGTGATATTCAGAATTAGCTGTTCACAGAAAATTWTCTATCATTAGGGATTTACAAACTGAAATTAGACAGGCAACCTAATGGAAAATAATAATTAATACCATGGTATTTCCTAACAGCAGGCGAATGTATGTTTTAACTCTGTAAGACCACGCATGCACACTGAAAGTATTATACAGATGCTAATWTGCACTTACATAAATGGAAGTCAAATTATTTTTTCCTACAAAGCAGGAAAAATGTAGCTCAAAGCAGGGCTGGGAAAGCACAGGAAAAAGTCATTCACAAAGTGAGGTTGCAAGGAAGTAGTGTTTGTAGTAAAAAAGCATGAGGTTTTTATATCATGTTTTATCCTGCATATTTGTGGGTCTTTGGAGCTGTTCTGCCTTTTGTGTGTTCTTTTTTATTTGTAATATAACATCAGATATAAACATCAGATAACAGTTTTCAAAAAAAGATGGCAACAAATCTAAAAACATTACAAAATCTGAACTCTTGAGAGTACATGGCCTAGAACTCTTTAATATTTATGGGAATCAGATGTGCACAGAGGAAAGACCTCAGTGCTTTCACAAATCTTGGAACTGCCAATATGATCTAATGCCCATGCACATGGACAACTTCATATCCATGCACCTGTATCTCACAACTAGGAATAATCACAGAGGCTATTAATGTTCTATATTTTGGTAACCTTCACTTTTACATTGATTTGAGACAGCTGTATGAGAAGTGCACACTCACAAGGGGTGCCAGACCCTGATATGAACATAACCACATGAGGTTTTTTAAACAATCAGCTGCAGTGCATTGGCAGCTTCCCATTGTGTGGTTTTCATTCTGAGCAGAAAGCAGCTGCACATGTCAACATGGCAAGAAAGGCTCTGCTCACCTTGTGAGCAAATGTTTTGAACCTGGTAGTTATGATGGCTCTACACAACGAAAATGAGCCAGCTATGCTGTTACTGATTATCAGTGGCTGGCTTGACATGCCAGACAGTATATTTTTATAAAATAATCAAAAAGATATCAGACAATCCTTAGCACTCAAAAAAAAATCCACTTTTGTCTTGAAAAAAGAATTGTTTGAGCCTTTTAACATTACAGCTGTAAATCAAAGATTTGTAGCAGTGACTTCTTTAAAATCAGATAAACTGAAAACTCATGAAGGCAAATGATAACAAAGTMCTGATAAAGATGATTTGTTCTTTGTGAACAGCTGGAGAGACTCTCCTACACAATGAGGTTTAACAAATCATTCCAGGTAGCAGAGCAAATCTCCTGGAAAGATTATTCTGTACAGAACAAATTCCAAGAAACTTCTCAATTTTCATCCAGTCCCCACTCAACCAAAAGATACTAAACCAAATCCTTTTTTAGGAAAAGCTGATAGACATTAATAAGGGGCCTGTCTCAAAACAACACTTTCACATAACTGAGTAAGGACCTGAGATTCTGGCTTTACAATCAATAAACATTGATCAAATGAAAACCCTACCCCTTAAACCCATTCCTTTCTCTACCACAGAAATATCTTCTATGTCAATATGAAAAGGCCTGGTA